AGAATTGCCTGAATCCAGGAGGTGGAGGTTGCAGTGAGCCGAGATCGCACCATTGCACTCCAGCCTGGGTAACAAGAGCGAAACTCCGTCTCAACAACAACAACAAAAAAAGAATCTGACACTCACGATCTCTCCACTCCTTCTTGAAACTCACCTCTCCATAGCTTCTCTAACCATTACGAAGTCTCCTGTGTTTTTCCACTTGTCAAGCCATTCCCTGGGGACACTCTTACAGTGCACACCCCTGATTAGAGTCCACTCCCTCATTCTCTGAAGGAGCTCCTCTTCTACACTAACTGCTTCACCCACCACTTGTACACCATACCCCTTTCTTGGATGTCTTAAAGGTATCTCAAACTCTCCATATTTGCAACCATAAACTTGGCATCTTCTCCATGAAGGCTACTCTTTCTTCTTGATTCCTTATCACGGAAGAAAGCAACAGCTTACATCTGCCAGTCAACCAAGCCAAATCCAGGGGACGTCCAGGGACAAGGGGGTCTTTCCTTCCTATGTCATCAGCCACAAGGTTCTGCTTCAACTTCCTTATTATTTCTAAAGTCACTCCCTTCCCTCTGTCCCACTGCCACATGATCCACATCTTTACACTGCAGCTACAGAGCATGCTTCTTGAATTCAAATTTGGTCCTATCTCTCTCCTCCTTACAACATTCCTGTGATTCTCTACCACCTTCAGGAGAAAGCCAGTCCCCACGGCACAGCCCTGAGGCTCACTGAGGAAGGCGCCTGCTCCCCTCTCCGACCTCCTCACATCACAGGCTCTCTACACGTACTGCAAGCGTTTCCAAAATGCACTCTGTGTTCTCTGGCCTCCCTGCCAGACACAAGCATACAGACACTTTTACCCTGTTGGCAATCCTCACAAATACTCAGGCAACACCTCCTTACTTGGCTTGGGGAAGAACTCTAGATAACTAACTCTCATCCAGGCACCTTTCCTATGTGCTACCTCAAGACTACAACCATACCATCCCACAGTGCTGGACTGGGTTTTTCTTTTCATGTGCACCTATGTATCAGCCGGCCTTTCACCCTAGATAGTGAATTATTTTGAGAGTATCTTATTGATCTCCTCTTGTCAGTACTCATTACAGTAATTGTCACAGAGCAAATGTCAAATAATTGACAAATAAATGAAGGAATGCATGAATCAATGAACAAGTTATCCAAATCAGTCTCAAAGGAGCAATTTCACATGCTAACAACTACCTATGAGAAGGATAAAGAAATGGAAGCTCAAACTACGACATAATTACCTTACTATACCAATGAATTGCTTTTATTTACAGGGTCAATGACAAGTAAAGGCAAATGAATGTGTCCTAGTATCATAAAACACACTGTATGTTAAGCCTCGGGGCTTTGAAATTTGGGTATCTATGATTTTAGGGCTATCTGCAACAACAACAAAGAAATGTGTATGTATCCTTGAGTCAAACTGCAGGAAAAGCAAATGTAGAGGAAGTCTTGATGTTTTACACGTGTCATTCACAGAACAACAACACCTGTATGACCCACGGCCCCTGCACAGGTTGCAGGCCCTGAGTCTGACCTGGATGTGGTGTCTGGCAGTCATCATGGCCCTCACGTGCCTGTGAATTCCAGATTCCTTCTCTGCTTCAGAAATACAAAGTCAGCAAGAGAAGTGACCATGGAGTGACCAGATGGCAAACAGGAGTGAATTACACGGGGTCCTACCAGTTTAGAAGAGTTTTAGGAAGGATACCTCAGAAGTATCAGCCTCAGGAAAGTGTCCCAGTGTGTCTGCTCCCATCCTCACTACGTGATTCTTCTCTGTCCACATTCTTTTCTTGGGTGTCTCATTTGTTTTGTTATTCCGCTCTTTTTTTGATGCTAAAGATCCCTAAACCTGCACGTCAGGCCTCAGCTGCTGAAGTCCTCATTATGTGTTTCCAGCTGTCTGAGGGAAACAAAACTCCTCCAACTGGGGATACAGAACATAACACAGGAAAAGGCAGACACCTCTGTAACACTGCTGGGGACTGAAGGTCTCAAAGGAAGTACAATGTTGAAAAGGGCACACCAAAAGTGGGCAGTAGTTAAGCACCCAGCGCTGACATCACACATGACTGGCTGGATCTCCAAATCTACCCTTACTGCCTGTTTCCTGCAGGCAAAAGTTTCTGAATTTCCCTAGGACTCAATCACCCCATCTGAAATCTGGGAATGATAATGGAAGTCACCATATCATGGGAACAACTGTCCTATTCACAGATTATTTTCAATATGTCTACAAAACCTCTAGTGTTTCCTAAATCTTAAAAACAAAACAAAACAAAAAAACACTTGACTACTCTCTAAACGTTGTCCCTAAATCCCTCCTTTCCTTTCCCTTTCAACTTCTAGAAAGATGGTCTATATGGTCCATGTTTATGCTTGGTCCCTCTACGTTCAGCTCTACATTCTATACAAACATCTCCTTTGGGTTAACAGTGGCCTAACTGGTGATTACAGCTCTTGTTCATGCATCTTGTTTGCAATGATGAGGCAAATCAGAAAAGAAAAGAAGGCTTTCACCGCGGTAGGAGCCTAAAAGCAAACTGCTTGGATGGCCAAAGGTGTTTACTTACCTGGAGAAACCAGAAACAGTGCAGTGGAAGGGATGGAGGAAGAATGGTATTGGAGAAGGGAAACCAAAGGTCCGCAAAAGAGGCTACTAAAACCAGAATCAAGCAGTGAGCATGCCTGGCCAGGGAAAACATTAGGTATCAAAGGACAAGAACAAGTCAAGATCCGGAATTTAAGCCAGATGAAAGGCAGAAGTTCAGAGTCAAGAAACTCCAATCACCTGGGCCCATTTTTAAAAGGTCCTGTAGCTATTTGATGCTTGGGTGGGCAGCACTTGTCCTACTGAAATTCTCCAGGGCGTTTCTCAGTATTAACCCCTTCTCCTCCACATCTTGGCAACCCTGCCCCCCTGTTCTTCTCAAGACCCTTGGTCCTTAGTTCCTAAGGAGGCATCACCTCCCCCATCTCCACTGCAGTGTCACAGTCAGCGGGAACTATCTTCCTGTCTTCCTACGCAGCGTGAGCTATAGCACCAAGAATTGCTAGCTCATCTGATCACTGAATCTGTTTTCTTCTTCTACTTGGTCTTGAAGCTAGAATGCACTTCCCACCTTCCCCTGCAGTGAGGGTAGTCATGTGACCAGTTGTAGCCAACAGAAAGTAAGGATAAGTGGAGCTCACTGCTTCCACCCCTGGACCTCAAAAGATCCCTGTTGAGAACCTTTGCACTATTCTCACCGAAGGGCGACTGTAGGAGGAAGGCAGTGCAGATGAAAGCATTTCTTTCAACCTGGTTCCCTGAAAGACTACACAGAGAAAAGCCATCGCTGCGAATCAGACACACATATGTTGGATTTTATGTGAGTATGAAATAAATTTCTACTGTGTTAAGTCACTGACATTTTGAGGTTTATCTGGTGTAGCCGCCATCATCTTCACTGTTAAGTCACAAATCTAGAAATCGTGAGTCCAAAACTCTAGGCTTAACAGACCCAAATTTCTAACTTCCTTCCTCTCCTTCACCAGACTAACTTCTAATATTTTGCAGGAATTATTCCCTACACCTCTTGGACTTGGTTGTGTTTCTTCCATATGCATTTCCAGAGCACGCTATTTATTAGCATTTTAATTGTCTAGTCATCTGCCTCTCCAACTCTATGAACTTTTTGAGGGTAAAGAATGTGTTTTACTCTTGTCAACCTCTGTGTCCAGCTGGCATTCAGGAAGGGTTTGTGTCCTTCATTTTTAAATTAAAAGCAATGTGTATTTAGTGGTACTAAAAAAGCAAGAACACATCCCTAGTGATAACTGGTGTTGGTAGCATATACCCCTATTGGAATTGATGAAAAGAGCCCTTTGTCTCAACAGTTGTTTTTCTCAAACCCGTATACCAAGTCTAACCAGGTGAAGCATAGTCTCATAAAAGAACAAATAGATGAATGACTAAATGTAAGAACAAGGATTTGTCATATAAAAATATGAAGGTTCAAAGGTGATATGATCAGAGTTCATAAAATAATAAGGGCTATGGGGAGGAGAGGCTGAGGGGGGAAATTTTTTAATTAATCCCTAGCAAAACAGAAATTAAGAGAAATTATTAAATGTTGGAAGAAGGATTTTTTTAATATTTAAGGACAAACTAAAGAAAGCTTTACTGAGAAGTAAGAAATAATGGGGAATATTTAAAAGCTACCAAAGAAAAGTTGGTTTGCTGAGAGTATTTCCCAAGCCTTTTGAGTTTGATCATGAAAGAACAATATAGCTCTCCAGAATGTATCAATGCCCTAGAGAGATCCCTGAAAGACAGAAGATATTTAAAGCCCCTTTTGCAATATCAAAATTATGGTTTAAATACATTAGAGTGATGCTGCCTCATGCTCCACCAGCTAACATCCCAGTGACAGTTCACTCCAGTGTTCCTACCCACCGCACAGTAGCATTTAGGGCCCCTATGAAGAGCCCAAGGCAGGGAGTGAGTGACCAAAAGTGGAGCTAGAAAACAATCCAGAATTTTCCAGCGCATTCCTTCTGGGTCCTTCACCCCTACATAGGCAGAATTTTCCTGTACACACCAAGGCAAAACTATGACAAAGCCTATGTGTGACTTACAGAAATAACCAGCATCCCCACTTAACTTCCAGGCTTTCTCTTCTCCACACCTGGGGAAATTCACATAAAGAAATAACTAGACTAATCAAAAGTTTTCCTCCTTCAGTGATTTCTATTAACTCTCTAAAAACTAACTTTTGAAATACAAAACATAAATGAGTGTTGGGTTCTGTCCATCCTTGACCTTTCAATCACTTTCACTAGTTCAAGCCATTTAACTTTCATCTGGAAAGGTATGACTGATCTAAAGGCAGCTAAAACATAAACTAGGCATTTTCCTTTCTCAGAAACAATGCTTAACTCAGAACTTCACTCTGAAAGATTCAAAGTAACACACTCACCTGTAGCTGGGATATAGTTAAAGGGATATCGGAATAATATCCAGGTGACACCTTCACTGCAAGGTGGGATGGTGAGAGAGCCTTCATACACCCAGTAATCCCGCAGCAGAGGGTCTACACGGCCACATGGACGTGTCATGAAAAGGCAAGTGAATCAGTAACAATCCTGATGACTCCAACAACAATTTTCAAAATTACAAACTGTCCAAATGACACTTCAAAGATGGAAGTCATTTTCAAATTAGAGCCCCACAATATTAAACTACTCATTTGGAGCAAGTAATGGATAAAAAACATGATGAATTCTCTATTATTTACAGTGATTTCTATCAATGGATTATGGTATATACTGTCAAGTTTAAGCACTTTAGAAGCGTACGTATATTTTGAGTTTTTTCACTTTATTAAAGGATTTACCTAATTGATATCTAATATTTATTGAATGTTTACAATGTGCCAGCAATTTACATTAATTTATTTAACCTTCACAACAAACCAGTGAGATAGGTAGTATTATTAATGTTATTTTTCAGATGGGGAATAATAACATCAGTAGTTTGCCTAAGGTCACTCAGCTAATAATCACTGGCAGTCAGGATTCGAACTTGGGCAGTCTGGTTTCATAGCCTGTATTTTTTTTTTTAAGAGACAGGGTCTGGCTCTGTCACCCAGGCTGCTGGAGTGCAGTGGTGTGATCATGACCCACTGCATCCTCAAACTGCTGGGCTCAAGCAATCATCTCACCTCAGCCTCCCAAGCAGGGACTATGGGTGCACACCACCACAGCCAGCATTTTTTTTTTTTCCTTTCTTTAGAGCGTGGTCTGGCTATGTTGCCTAGACTAGCCTCAAACTCTTGGCCTCAAGCAATCCTCCCACATCAGTCTCCAAAAGTGTTGAGATTACATAGGTGGGGGCCACCACATCTGTCTGAAAGCCTGTATTTTTAACCATTCAGTTCTAGCTACCTCTATACTACTTCTTCAACAGCAAAATATCAAAATCATATTACAAAAGAACAAAATGAATAATTCTTATTAAATCCTTTAGCTCTGCATTAGAAGGATTTATGATTAAATAATAATAAATGTTTACCATATCATAGAAATTGGTTTGTTGTATAGCAATTAAATGTAGAAAACAGGAGATACAATGCATCAACCTATTTGGTTTTTTTTGAAACACTACAAGACAACACATAATTTGGGGAGAGAAATGTGAAGACCAAAATTTTATATACAACAACCTTTAAATCATATTCTGAGTATTTTATGTATAATTGTTACCTGCACACATATACAGTTAGAATAATAATAGTGTTACTGCAGAGAGGTAATCTTATAAAATTAGATACAAAGTTCATTTTACTGTAAAGATTAAGAAGTCTACTGAGCAATCTTAGAAGTACATCAGGGTTTCTTGTTTGTTTGAGCCAGAGTTTTACTTTATCAGCCAGGCTGGAGTGCAATCATGTGATCTCGGCTCACTGCAACCTCCACCTCCTGGGTTCAAGCAATTCTCTTGCTTCAGCCTCCTGAGTAGCTGGGATTACAAAGGTGAGCCACCACACCAAGCCAGTTATTTTATTATACTGGTGCTTTATACAGAGGTAGCAATTCTTACAAATGACAATCCTAAGAAAGTTCTTGATGGGTCAATGGAACTAGTGGCAAAGTGTCTCTTTATTACTTCAAACGGTTTACTTCCACATTTAAGAGTAATCTGGAAATGGTATCTGCTAAAGAGAATATAAATTGCAAATAAATTTTATTAACTAAATATATATAGTTTTAAATAGCCTACAGAAAACAATGTGACAATAGCCACAGTTAAAATTCATTTTAATGAATCAGATAAATACTCACCTGGTAATAAAGTGTTAGGATTAAAACAAGGTATTGTTTTAGACTTCCCCTGAAAAAGAAAAAAAAATATGTACCCAATGTTAATGTAGTATTTCTAGATTTTAGAATTAAAAAAAAAGTATTAGAAAAAATATAGAATCAAGTCTGTTATGAATGGCCTCATGAGGTCCCACAGATTTGTGGGTGTCTCCTTCTACCTACTCATTCAAGTAATACCGCCTGGTTCCTGCTCTGATTCTATGGCTATTTTCTTTGCTACCATAGTTCAATTCTCCCTGTAAGTCCTGGTGAGGAACCTAAAATTGGTGCCCATCTGCCCCCACGTCAGTTACTTTTTCTGCTCTGAACACAATTCATAGCAGAGATCTGGGCTAAATTCTTACCGTAAAATGCCTGAACCCTGGGTGGGGGAATTTTCAAATTGCCTTTCCTCCTGCTTAATTTCATTGCATCTCCTAACCTTTTCGGCATCACAACCTGGCTTCCAGCTTCCTGTTTTGTCTTATTTGGATTTGGTACTTCAGCTCTGGGATCTATGCTAGATGCTCTCCTCACCTGGAAAGGGAGATCTAAAACACATGGAAATATTCTGTTCCAGTCAATGTTTATCAAAGCTAGATTTAAATTTCAGGGGAATCATCTGTACCCTTATTCAACAATTGACATTTAATATCATCATTTTAAATCATGTCGTTTAAATTGCCTAGACTTTAGAGGCAATTGGTCCTATCAAGTGAATCGGATTTTTCTTAAAAGATTACTGTATTGATCAGTCATAAAAGAATTGTGAAGTGACAGGGGAAAAAAAGATTACTGTATTAATACAGATGCAACAGGGAAAGTTACTGCATCACCTCCAAGTCCCTTCCTGATTTCCTGGGACCATTTTACACATTAAAGACTCTAGCTTACTTGCCTCCCCAATCCTCCTGAGTTCCACAGTGATTGGTGTGGTTAGATGATATAATAAATTTTCTCAGCCCATTGCAATTATACAAATACAAGTCAAAACGTGCCCTCAACCATCTTCTTCTCGGCTTCTTTTGTCTGGACTGGGCTTCCCTTGGATTCATTAAAAACCTACTCAGGAGACCTTCAGTGAAGGTTCTGCCTGGTTCAGTATACCCTGGGTTGTGTCAGTGTAAAGCTAATCCAACTTGATTCCCAAACTGATCTTTCTTAGAAGTGAATTTGGGTCTCTGGATCTCCTGCAATCAAGTTCAATTCCTGCTCTGTATCTCCAGCAGCCCTACAAGACTAGACTACTCCCGTCCCCAAGATCACTCACATTCAACTGACACTAAGCATGAGGCAAAAAGGAACTGCTTCTAAGAGAGATTGGCCTTGGCTTCCTAGCAATGCTGGGCCGTTTCATTGCAGGGGCATGTTGATCACAGAAGCTTCTCTTGTATATTAACTTACCACATAGGTGTACTTGTTTTCTTTTTAAAATTTATTTAACATAAATGCTTTGACATATGATTCCCCAAATTTGTATTTGTTTCATTGATACAACTTTCCTATAGCATGCAGGTAGGAAAGGGTTAACCCAGCAGGCCTGAGTTGCTCAAACCCTGAACATCCCAGATCAAGGCCTATCTTCAGGACTAACTCTTGGCTCCTGGAATATAACCTCTGAGTTTGGAATATTCTACCCAATAAAAGTGTTTCTGTGCACCTGCAGCCTTGGGCCATGCTGTATTTATGATGAACTCCTGTTGTTACATGCCTGCAGCCTTGAGACATACTGTACCAACTGGAACAGAGAAGCTGGTGCTGACAATGTGACTTACGGTGAAGAGGGCAGGGAGAGGGTTGCTGCTAGAGGTTGAGCAGCTGAGGTCAGTTATGTTGCAGGCATTTTGTGCTCACATGACTGACCCCAATAAATCTCTGGACACCAAGGCTAGAGTAAGCTTCCATAGTTGGCAACACTTTACACATGTTGTGACCAATCACTGCTAGGGCAATCAGGGGCATCCTCATGTGATTCCCCAGGGAGGCAACACCTGGAAGCTTGTGCCTGGTTTCCCCCGCATTTCATTCTATGCGCCTTTTCCCTCTGCTTTTTAATCTGTTTCTTTCCACCATAATAAACCATAACCACAAGGACAGCAGCTTTTCTGAGGTCTGTGAGTCCTTCTAACACAGCACTGAGCCCACAGGTGGTCAGAGGGACCTCCTACACAGGCAGCGTTTTTGTATTATTTTAAATATTGACTTACCTTATATTGAATATCCTGGAGGATTTCAGTCACAGCCTTCAAGCCAACATGCTCCTTTCCTATCTGAAAAATATAAAGCATAAACCATAACCACGGCATTTTTAAGTGTTTAGCTTAAACTCAAAAAAAATGAACAGAACTTGGCTCCAGTCCATCTGAATGTCCTTTCTGAGGACTAATTAAATGGCCTTTTATTAATAACTAGGTCAGTATCTACTAAAGGTAATTAAAGTTGTAAAGGAAGCTAGTATAATAAAGTATTAGATATGTAAATGTCCAGAAACTCATTCTAAATTCTTCTTACTATGTATAGGACTCACTCACTTTGCTATACATATCAAATTATAAAATGCTGTTATATAAAAAGACCGAGGATATTTTTGAACTAAAACTACTCAGTACATGTTCAAACCCTTCCATGTTTAACTTTTGGCAGGTATAGATCACTGCTATAAAGGTTTTAACAATACTGAAAAATTATATTAACTTACAAAGCAGATAGGTGATTTTGCTGTTAAATTCACCAAAATCAAGATCTTTTGTGTTTACTACTAGACATAAAAATATAACTACCTTTTTTTTTTTGAGATGGAGTTTCGCTCATTACACAGGCTGGAGTGCAATGGCGTGATCTCGGCTCACCACAACCTCCGCCTCCTGGGTTCAGGCAATTCTCCTGCCTCAGCCTCCTGAGTAGCTGGGATTACAGGCACGTGCCACCATGCCCAGCTAATGTTTTGTATTTTTAGTAGAGACAGGATTTTCACCATGTTGACCAGGATGGTCTCAATCTCTTGACCTTGTGATCCACCCGCCTCGGCCTTCCAAAGTGCTGGGATTACAGGCTTCAGCCACCGCGCCTGGCCTACCTTTCGATTCTTAAATAAATAAGAATATGCTTTTCATAGCCTTCTTTTCAAAAACGTATCACTATATATTATTAGCGTATAAAATGCTCCCCCCAAAAATTCTAATATTTAATATTCTTGACTTCGCCTTTAAAAATTTTAAGTGAAATCTGACCAATTTCCAATGGTCCATGATAATAGAGGAGAATAATGGAGATCACTCAGAATCTCAAATAAGCAATCACTGCTTTTGTCAGCTTTTCTCCTTCCACATAGATATTTGGAGAACGAACTAAGAGAAGCCAGAATAGCTGTCAATATGTTCACATTCTCTGTTTCTCTTGACGTTAACCAATTGCAAAACATGCCAGCTGAAAGAGCATCCAAAGGGAAAGGAGAGAGATGAGAAATGCTCTACCTACGATAGCCTGTCAGCTCTAAACAATCAAGACATGAACTATTTTCCAAGCATCGACAATTATTCCTGTGTTAGGCTCTAAAAACAGAAAATAAATTTTCTAAAGTTAAAAAAAATTAAAAACCTAATGCATATGTACCTATGGGTGCAGCAGCCTGGAATTTTAGGCAGAAGTCATTACCCATTCTTCAGGAGAAATGGACTCTCTTTGTCTCACTGGTTTAACCATCCTATGGCACTGGGAGGCCTACGTCTGCACTTGAGGTGTGTTTTCATCTCAGGCATCTCCTGTCGGGCTGTAAACTCTTTGAAGCATCCGCATGTGAACACTAAGGCCACTCAATGTGGCAGCTGGGGAGCAGGCTCACTTTGCACATGGACTGCCTGGATTCCAATCTTTACTCTGCCACCTCTTAGCTGTTGACCTTAAGCAAGTGTATTTAACCTTTACATCCTTCCACTTCCTCATAGGGAGGAATAAAATCCTCCTGTGGAGGAATAAAATCCTCATGGGGAGGATAAAAATGATAGGGTTGAATATAAGATTAAATCAAACCAAGACGGTAGAGCTTGGGTCATCATTATTCACTTCATATCCATTATTAATCTTAATCTAGATGCCCTACAGCATCAAATATAGTTTTTCCATATAATAGCACTTAATGACTATTACTAGCGCCTTTTAACTATAAAGACTATTTTATGGGCAAAACTTTATATCCTGAAAACTCTATAACCTCTGTTCTTACTCCATCTCTTTCCTTTCCTTCCTTGTCAAATTTTTGTATGAAGAAATTATAACCAGCAAAAAGTAAGTACTGATGATAATCTCCACACCCCAACTGCTAAAATTGTGCAAGCAACTGTTCAGATACCAAGAGCCCACCAGAAACCTTGAGAAGAACTCATTTCTCACCTCTCACCTTTGCCATCCTTTACCACCACCGGAAATGCAAACCACTTTGGTCTGTTCTCCTTGCCTGGCATCTCAGCCCCGAACCTCCCATTTTTTTTTCACTTCTAACTCAATCTCTCCTTACCTTCCACTGCACTTTCTGGAACAGAACAACTCTGCATTTCTGCCAACCTCTCCCACCACCTCCCAATCTACCTGAACCCCTCAGGTCTGCCCAAGGCCACAGCTCTTTTGCAGGCCTTTCAAGTGGATGTCGTGCAGTCCCCCAGGAGGAAGACAGACTGAAAGCCACAGTCAGTGCATTCCTGCTCTCTTCAGTGTGAATCTGACCCATGTGCTCGAGCCATCCTCCCGAGGGGACCATCCTCTGAGGCTACCATGCCCTCCTTCTCCCTTACTGACCCACTAGACCATCCTTCCCAAGCATCACCTCCTGCTGCCACCCTGGACAACTTCAGCATCCAGGGGGTGACCCATCTCCTCCCTGGCCTAAGTCTCACCCCTCAGTCTGTGGCCTTCTGCCCCATTCACCTCAGCAAACCAACTCTGAGGGGACTCCTGGTATGTGCTCTCATTCCGAAAACTTCAACTCTGAAAGACTGGCCTCTCTGACCAGATGCCCCAGGCCAGTCAGCTCCCCAGCTCCTTCCTCTCTCCCCTTCTCTGATCACCAGGAGCCAAGACTTACATGTCCCTGTGGCTGCTTCTCCTTCCCCCTCCTGCCTAGAAGTGGGACTGGCTAAACAGAACGAGATCTCTCCAACCACTCGCCATTCTTTAATCCTTTTACTTCCTACGTCATCTGCTCTGTGATGGATCAACACAACAACTTACTAGAACTCTCTACTCCTTTACCTGGATAAAGAACAACCCACCATACCCTGTCCTGTATGATCTACGGTGTCCAATCCCAAGGGGGGGTTCCCTCAGTGACTGCCCAGTCTATTATCATCCCCTCCTGAGCTATTTCAAGACTCAATCCCACATCCAGGCTTTCTTTGCTCTATAAATAATTCTGCTTTGTGTGTCTCAGAGATCATAAAGGTCATCAGCATGAACTTTCTTCACATCCTGCCTTTCTCCACCCATGAATCGGCCCCATTTGTGCCCATCCTTTCCTCCTGGCCCTCTATTTTGGAGAAGGGCTGGGTTTCCTCCTATCTGAGATTAGTCCATCTACATAAGCTCTCCATCCCGTGCCCTCCTGCCTCCTCCAGGACTTTTCCACCTCAGTGACACCCTCTCTACCAGTATTTTTAATCTCTATGTCTGTGATAGCTCTTACTGCTCAGCAGGCGGTGGTGGGGGGGGCGGGGCGGGGGGGAACAGGCAGATCTTAGAGCCCAAAAGAGTCACTGGACATCATCACTAGTTATTGCCCCATCCTGTCCTTCCTTCAGCCAAGCTTCTTGGAAGGAAAATCTATTCAATGTCTCCGACTTCCTCCCTCCCATTTCTCTCCTCCAGTCCAAGGGACAGACCCCTCCACGCATGGATTTCAGCCCATCTTCCCTCCCTCCATACATCCCTTCCTTCCTTCCTTCATGAAAATTTTGCTCTCGGTTCTGCGATTTTACTCTCTCCTGAGAATTTGCATACAGATAACCTGAATTTTTCCCCACAGAAACTTATAGAAAGTTAGAAAAACTGTGCTTGCTAACCAGGCTTCCCCTTGCCTGCAATAACGTAGCTTCTTCTTGGAAACACTCACATTAGTTCTAAGGGGCTGGGATTTCAGTCTGGGGCTCTACAAATCCAGGTCACCTGTTACATGCTAAGAATCAGGGAAGTGAAAATACTAAGTTATCACACCTAATTCCGCCCACAAATATTTATTAACAATTCCAAAGATGAAAATGACATGTTCCTTTCCCCTCTATATATGACTATGTAGTTACTTGTATTCTTATGTTTACTTTATCTTCCTATTTTTTATTCTTGCTTTTAATAATGAGATAGTACCTTGTCTTAATTCCTCAGATTTGGATGCTTTATTAACTTTTCTGGGTTAGTCTTTCATAATTGTTACTTCAATACACTAAAAATTATCAAAATATATTTGTATAATAAAAAGTTTTTCATTAACATTTTGTGATTTTTTTCTTTCTTTTTGTAATTTATATAATCCAGTTATAAAATACAAGGAATATAAGTCCCTGCCTATGACTAAAGCCATGAAATAAACAGTCAGAAGAGGGCTCACTGAAAAATATAAGGATTTCCTTTTCAATTCTGTGGCATGTGTCATATTTGCAAGATGCTTATTTAAAAATATTAAGAGTCTAATTTGGATGGCTACTTGCAAACAGCAATAAAGAAATATGTAGGAGATATGTATTAAAATTATTGCAATTAGTTTTGATATATATGCCATAAAAAAACAAGTTTAAAGGGGCCCATTATGGAACTCTCTTTGGAAAATAAAGTTTCTGAAGAACACTGTGCTAACATGCTCTATTCCCAGGTTACCCAAGAGGGAGCCCAGAGCCATGCAGAGCTGGCACTCTGCTTTCTGGTCCTGATGGCAGCTTTAGAGCTAAAATGTTCAGGCACTCTTTCACCTCTTAAATCTTTTATGATGTCAAATATATAATAAAACAAAATTTAGAAGATTTGCCTTAAAAACTGGATTAAGTTTTTACCTCTGAAAGCACGTGGCCTGCTTTCATATGTTTGGGTAAATTTATATACTATCCTTTGCCTACCACAGAGCTCAAGTCTAAATGTTATATTGTCTATATCTGCCAAGGTCTTTGCCAGTCTGATTTTTATCAATGTTTTCCTTCAGGGCATTTCGAGTAATCTCGGCGTAAAATTGTTAATAAAGAAGGGGTGAAGTAATCTATTATTGATTTTTCGTAGATTTTTCTGTAAACCAGGGTCTAAAAACATTTTCTGAAATCCTTTTTCATAAATAAAATAAACTCTACCTTCAGGAGACAGTTCCTAAATCATTCCTTGGAAGACCTTGAATGCCACTCTGAAGAAAATTTATAATAAATAAAGGGAACTATTTTCTACCAATGAATATGGCTGAACTTTCATGAACCATAAGGATCAAGTTATCTATTTTTATCAAGTGTTCTCTGTACGTGTCTAATTTCATCTGTAAGCAATAAAATTGAGAATAAAAAATATTTTACAAAACGATTTAGAAATTAGCATCTCTAAACAACACGAGAATCACAGCAGACGGTTTACCTGAACAAACAGAGCAATGATGGCGATTCCATGCGGCTTCCCCACAGCCTCATCGATGCTGCCAAACAGAGTGGAGTTCCAGTGGATCAGATGGAGCTGGGTGAGTGGCAACAGACAGACCACATCATTTAATGTGCAAAGATACAGCCATTTCTTCACTATTTCTATATGGTGTTTCACACAACAGGAGGCTCACAAGTAGACACAAATAAACTACTGGCTTAATACGAGTTATCTGTATGACGTCTTTCCTTCCTATTTCTGAACAGTAGCCGTGCTTAGTGGATCGCTGCCCCTTAAGTCAAGTTTTAGTCCTGATGTGGAGGAAGACAACCAGAGGGACTCGCAGACTTCACATGGATTCAGTTATCTTTCCTTGGATGTCATCCTTCTGGATCTCAATAAAGCAAAACTCCAGGTCTGGGAACAAATACTAGAACTCATTCAAAGGATGAATACTTGCATAGCCAAATACTGCATCACCCAGTATTTCCATCAGGAAGTGTACAAAGTCAGTCCCTAGTTCTAGTAAATTACTTCAACTTTCTAAGAATATCCATAGATAGCAACCTGAAAAAAAAAAATGCTGCATTTTTAAAGCCCTAGTAAAATAATGAATGCTGATGTAAATCTCTTAAAGAAGGTTATTTCCTGCACTGGAGATAAAATTTTATCGGTGAAGAAATGACGAGCAATGCTCAGAGGCCTCCCTCACTCCTAGCCTCATAAAGCTTTGCAGCTTTCAAGTTTATACAGAATATGCACTGCTCCTACAGCACTGATAAAACCCTTGAAAGAAGCCAAATTCAATTCCTGATTAAAAATAAAATGTCCACTGAGGTTCTTAGTATAATAGTAGGTAGGTAAACCTTCTGCCTAGAATACAATCTTCATCACTATAGCTTTTCATCAAGTTATAATTACTCACCACCTTAGAATCCTGCCTTATTTTAAAATTAGTTCTAACACCAAAAGACATAGCTAAAATTCAACCACTATCTATTTTGGCATCTATATTAAAATATCCAGAAAAATTATCATAAGGATTGCCACAAATTTGATTTTTCCACTGCTGAATTTATCCAAGTAGAATCTGAGATTATAAAACTGACCACTAGAGGGAGGCAAGAAATCCTCTACCAATAACACAACTGAACCTAGGAGAAGACAGTACCCATGGTCCATGCAGCCAGGACAGGCTGTGAAAAACTCACAGAGACTGTGATCACCCAGTAAATGCAACTGAAAGGCACTGCTTTTAAGAAAACTATGTTCTATAATCTCTCAATAACAAAAGACAATTTTAATCTTTCCTTCTCTGGCTGCAACAACAGCATAGAGTCCTGGTGGAAGAGGTAAGAACTGATTGTCTTAACTAAACCAACGAAGAAGGTCTAGGCCCAAGGTTGAACTACATTTTTACTCCACAAATTACAAAATTCCCACTGACATTTTTCTTCCTTCTCACAGCAATATTTTGGGGCTTTAAAAATAATAACAATAAACCACAAAAGCATGGGTTTTTCTTTTTCCCCATTCCTCACAATTCAGCAACACCTTCACTCACACCTGCTCTTCAAAAACTGCTGCACAATTTTTGTATGTTTAAAAAGCTGATGGTTCCCACTCCTTAAGTGCATACTGTGGGTGTTGACTTTGTTTCAAAGAGTGAAGTGTGGAAACGGGACAAAGATAGTGACTTTACAGTGGATAAAACTAACAAACACTACCTGATCAAGGTCAACATCAATAGTGATTAGTCATGTTGATAGGGTGCACGTCACCTTACACGTGATGAAAATGGCACTTTACTGCTGCATTTTCTCCCAATGACCCATAACCCAATCTAGCCACAAGAAAAACATCAGACAAATCTCAGTGAGAGACACTCCACAAAATACCTAACCAGTAAGTAATCCTCAAAACTGTCAAGGTCATCAGGAACAAGGAAAGCCTGAGAAAAATGTCACAGCCAAAAGAAGCCTAAGGAGACATGAGAACTAAATGTAATATGGTGTTACAGGTGAGATCCCAGAACAGAAGAAGGGCATTAGGTAAAGGCTAAGGAAATCTAAACAAAATGTGGATTAGTAACATATCAGCATTGATCCATTAATTGTAACAAATGTAACCATGATAATGTAAAGTGTTACTCGTTAAAGAAACTGCGTTTGAGGTATATGGGAATTTTCTGTACTGTCTTTATAATTTTTCTATAAATGTTAAACTGCTCTAAAAATATTCTTTTTAATTAAAAAGATAAGAAAAATTAAGAGAAATGCTGGCACCTCAGTCAACCCAAGCTAACAAGGATAACAGAAGGTCGCTATGACCCCCACGTGTCTAGCAAAATAACATGAAATGAAAGCAGCAACAGCAGCTCTCCCAGGCATCCTTAACTCCACCTTCTGGGCCTTCAGTAATCACCCGAGTCTTGGCGGTTCCAGAGCAGGAGAGATTGTTCCCTCACAATTAACAAGGGATCCAAGCTTTAAATAACAAAGCTCTGTCTTGCTTCTGATAAACCTTCTTCTCTGAAGGTCCTTTCTCTCATTTTCAGACCAAACAGATCATGACAGACCCCCTTTCCACACCAGTAGAGGCTGGCTAATTCAAGTACCAGGCAAATGTCCAACCCATTCTGGAACTCGGCCAACCTTCAGCTATAACCTAGCAGTGGGAACCCAGATGCGTGGCCCACAGGCACAGCACTCTGCACCCGCACTGCCTCTCGTTAGCTCACTCTGCTCCCCATGCGCCTCTCCTCTCCATCTCTATGGGTCTGCCAGGGCTGTCATCACAAAGTGGCACTGCCTGGGTGGCTTAAACAACAGACACTTATTTTCTCATGTTTCTGGAGGGTGGAAGTCTGCGATCAAGGTGTGAGCAGGGCTGGTTCCTTTGGAGCCCTGTCTCCTTGGCCGGTAGATGGCCGCCTTCTCCCTCTGTCTTCACATGGTCTTACCTCTCTAGAAGTCTGTGTCCAAACTTCCTCTTCTTATAAGGATACCAGTCATAGTGGATTAGGGCCTGCCTAACGACCTCCTTTAACCTAATTCGCTCTGTAATGACCCTATGTCCAAATATGGTCACGGTCTGATATGCTGAGAACTGGCACTTGAAGAGGAATTTGGCAGAGACACAAAGCTGCCCATGACACCATCTAACTCACCCTTTTCTTTCTGCTCACCGTAAGAAAGTAATTTCAAATCCAAAAAGCTTCAATTATTCACATTGACATCTGTTCTGCCACTGTCCCTTCTTTATTCCTATAATTGTATCATATTGTGCTTTGTATTACTTAGTGCTGGTCCTGTTCTGCAAAACAAAGCCATAGAGGCAGGAAAATTATAAGTGCATTTGAAGGACTAACAGTACATTGGTGGGTAGCTAGAGGATACATAAGTCTGGCAATGATAAGAGGTGAAGCTAGAGAGGTAGAGGGGTCAGACTGCAGAGAGCTTTAAATGTTACCATAGCTGTATTCTAGAAAATACTAAAGCAATATGTTATTGCAGTGAGTATCATTATTATGTATGCAGTCTGGAATCAAACTCCCCCATAATACTCTCTTTCTTTCAAAGGTCTCTTTGATAGTATAGGAGCTGAAGTGGAAGTAGCAGACATTGAAAGCTGGAATATAAGCTAGGAGGCTACCACAAACGTCCCAGCTAAAAAATTATGACAGAAATGTAGGGCAGTAAATCTTAAGTGTCAACTTGGCTAGGCTACTGGTGGTACCCAACTGTTTGATCAAACACCAGTCTAGATGTTGCAGTGAGGGTACTTTTTACATGTGATTAATATTTAAATAAACAGACTTTAAGTAAAGCTGAATGCCCTCCACCATGTGAGTAGGTGTCATAAAATCAGTTAAAGTGCTTAAGGTCACAGACTGAGGTCCCCCAAAGGAGAAGAAATTCTGCCTCCAGAGCTCTGGATAAAAGTTGGCCTGAGTTTCCAGCCTTCAAACTCCAGCTGTAACATCAACTCTTGCATGAATTTCCAGCTTTCAGCCTACCTTTTGAATTTCAGATTTGCCAGCCCCCACAACCACATAATCCAATCCCTTAAACTGAATCCCAATCTCTTCTTTGTCCCTCTGTTTCTCTCTCTACCTCCCTCCTCTCCCTCTCCCTGTTTCTCTGGAGAACCCTGACGAATACAGATCATGCGAACAAAAAGCAAAGTATGGCAACCAATATAAGTTTGCATCTGAAGACGACTCATACCAATGGGAATAAAGAAAAATGACCCTAACAAAGTGACAACGTTTGATTTATTCTTCTAAGACAAAACATGGTCCCTTTGGGGAAGGGGGATGAAGTGACAGAACAATCCTCTGATGATCAGAAAGAACATATTAAAACTTCTACTTATTTTTATCAAATGCCTTTTTATTTTCCTTTTTCTATGCTTCATAAAATATATAACATAAATACATATTAATGCATCAATATAATTTATTAACAAATATACACATGTTATGGGATACATGCTCCAAAGTTTGTTCTAATGCAATGGTTAAAGACATCTGGGGACAAACAGGTCTGAATGGAAAAGCATATGATACTACAGATACAGCATAGGAAATGGTGAGGCAGCCCACAGTGCATCTTATGAACCAGCTTATTAAGGTCCAAGTAGACAGCTATTATCGGCAGAGAGGACTCACAAGACTCACCTCAAAGCCTAATAGCCCAGATGTGCCCTGGGGTGTGTCTGGTCTATGGAGAGGGCAGGATACAGAGGCGGCAACTCTGTGCACTTCTCCAACTCCACTGATAAATTCTGAGAGGCAGTGTGCTCTCATAAAAGACCTCAGCTAGGAATCTCCTCTTAGATTCTTGTTTCAGTTCCGCAACTCTTTAGCTCTGTGAACTTCACTCGTCACTAACTTCTTTCAGCATCAGTCTCTCTCTAACATAGGAGACTGTATCTTAAAAGCTTGCATTATTCACGCCTTCCTCTGTCTTCCCATAGTACTCTTTTTCCTATATTCTTACCACATTTTGCTGTTATTAGCTTTAGTCATACATAGCCAGCAAAGGCAGGGAAGCAGGATGATAAGATTTTGACAACGAAGAGCAGCCAAC